CCATTGTGATGCAAATGTAAATTTATCGTTTTGTGTAGATTTTGATTTAGATATCTTCATTTCGTTAAAGTTTAACCTAAATGATAATGTTTATGTTTATATGGGGAAGTAAGATCCATGCCTCGTGTAACAAGAGATACATTCCTTGATTGGCAAAAGAAATTACTCAAATGCTTATGATTTATTTTTGGTTATAAGTGAGGTCCAAATCTCAAATGCTTATGACGTAAGTCAGATGTTTGTTAATCCTGAAATACCAGAGACAGATGAATTTAAACAACGGTATTTATCTTTTTCAATATTTTCACTTTATAATAGTATAGACTAAATTATAAAACTTATTTATAATCGCAGAGGTAATGATGATTCTCGAGCGTTAATCCTGGCTGAATCAAAATCGCAGAGGTAATGTTGATTCTCCATCGATCCGTTTTAGGATTATGTTTGTTTAGAAATAATGTTTTTAGTTATGTTTTAACAATCGTGTAATGATGATTCTCGAGCGTTAATCCTGGCTGAATCAAAATCGCAATTTGCTTTCACCCAATAATTTTCATTTTAAATAATATTTGTTTTTTCTTGACGATTTATTGACTGATTTATTTATATGAAAAATACATAGTGTTGTAAAAATTAGATCAATATACTATGATATAATAAACGAAAATTGATTTATACTATACTTGCTGCAAATTGAAAAAGAAAATGAGATACTTGGAGTAACAAATCTCATTTGTTACTTCAGAATCTTGCAATATTTAAATTATACCTTATATACTTGACTCTCATAAAAAAAATTATTTTTGAGTTACCTTTGGCTCTCCTAAATTAATTTAATATTTTATTTTATGGTCAACAAAAAAATACCCGCCCTTCTTAAGCGCGGATCAAAATTGAATATTATTTTTATTGTTAAAAAATCATAGATGTAATTATTTTAACTAACATAAATAAACTATATAAGAAGCGCGGGTCAAAATTGAATATTATTTTTATTGTTCAAAAATCATAGATGTAATTATTTTAAATAACATAAATAAATTATATAAGAAGCGCAGGTCAAAATTGAATATTATTTTTATTTTTCAAAAATCATAAATGTAATTATTTTAACTAACATAAAGAAACTATATAATTCGATTAACATATTTATTGGATTTAATTACAAATTTGTAATACAATTTTGGGCATTTTCAATAGTATTGATTTTTCAAATTTACTATAGGCCATGGACCCATCCAATTTTGGTTTCAATCTAATATGTGTTTTAATTCTTCATATTCTCAAAACACTTAATTTTCTGATTATCGGTTCAATCACAAACTGATTCAGTTATGCAAAACTCAATGAAAAGATCCTACTAATTTCACATATAAAAAACTATCATATAATAAAAATATAATCATTTGATACATTTTGTTACAACTAAAATAAAACCTGCGCTTCTCAAGCGCGGATCAAAATCTAGTTATATATTATTTGAAGATCATTAAAATATATATATATATATATAACCTTCTATTTTTTATTAATTATTTTTTAATCTTGTTGAGTTGTCAACAGCTTAAATTTCTACATTGCTTACGTGGAGGCTTTACAATTAATTTGGACAAACTTGGACCAACCTTTCATCTTTAGAAAATTTTATTGGGAAAATAGTTTTTTTTTAAGACCAAAACCATTAAAACATTGTTCCTTTAGAGTTATTTTTAGGTTCACTCCCTAGGGTGAATCTTTAGGTTCACCAACCAATAGGATGTTTTTATTTCATATTTGATATCTTTTTGGAAAGGAATTAAAATCTTGTTAAATTATATTATGTTTTTAAAATAAAAATACAAAAAAAATAAAAATAATAATATTTTAAAAACGAAAAAAACCTTTTAAAAAACATTTAACACTAAAACCCTAAACCCTAATCCTAAACACTTGGGTAAATCATAAACCCTTTGAAAAAATCTTAACCTTTAAGTAAATTAGTACTAACCAATTATACTGTTTTTATTTATTTTTATCCTTTTATTTTAAAAACCTGTTTTTATTTTAAAGATATATTAAAATATTTTTTTAAATGGTTTTTTGCAATTATTACTATTTTTATTTTATTTTTATCTTTTATTTAAAACATAATATAATGTTAAAATATATTTTTAAAGAAAATATTTTTTCGTTTTTTGTAAATATTATTATTCTTATTTATTTTTTCTATTTTTATTTTAAAAACATAATATAACTTGACAAGATTTTGTTTCATTTTTTAAAAGATATCAAATTTGAAATAACACTATCTTATTAGTTGGTGAACCTAGAGGTTCACCATAGGGGGTGAATCTAAGAATAAGTCAATAAAGAAAGGAGTTATTTTCGGGTTCATCCCTAGGGTGAACCTCTAGGTTCACCATCCAACAGGATTACATTATTTCATTTTTGATATCTTTTACAAAAAAAAAATCTTGTTAAGTTATATTAAATTTTTTTTAAAAAAAAATACAAAAGTAAATAAAAGTAATAATAATTAAAAACGAAAATATTTTTTTAAAATATTTTAACACTAAATCCTAAACTCTAATCCTAAACTCTAAACCCTTGGGTAAATTATAAATCTCTGGATAACTTTTATTAAAAAAATTAAATTTTTTTTACACTACATTACTAAACCCTAAACCCTTGGGTAAATCATAAACACTAAACCCTAAACTCTAATCCTAAACCCTAAACCCTTGGGTAAATCATAAACACTAAATTTTTAAAACACTATAAGATTTATACAAAGGTTTATGATTTACCCAGGAGTTTAGAGTTTAGGATTAAAGTTTAGGGTTTAATGTTAAAATATTTTCTTTAAAAAGAATTATTTTCATATTTAATAATTACTATTATTTTTATTTATCTTTGTATTTTTATTTTTTAAAACATAATATAACTTAATAAAATTTTGTTTCCTTTTTAAGAGATATCAAATATGAAATAATTTAATATTATTGGATGGTGAACCTATAGTTTCACCTTAGGGGGTGAATAAGTCTAAAGAAAATACGTAGTTTGGATTTTGTAATATTGTATAAATCAAATAGATGTTATTTATAAAAGCCGTGGTATATGAATATGGTTCAGTATATAAATCGAACAGACAAAATAAACCTATTAATTAAACTATAGTAGTATAGTTATATGTATATTACATAATATAACTGATAATATATACATGGTTTTGTTTATTCACATGATTTTGATATTTAAGACTTAATTTGAATAAGTTGTTATTTTAGGTAAAGACTTTCATTGACATACATTTGTGCAAAAAATAAGTTATTTAATAATATTATGATATTATTAATCTTTTTTATTTTCATCTTATCACAAAATAATAATTATAATTTATTTAACCGTTATTTTTAATAGTTATACTAAACAGAAAACATCATATTTAAAAATTAGAGTACTGTTTAGTAAATTAAAATTTTTATCATACAAAATGAAATTGAAAAAATGTTATAAAAGATAAATATAGTTTAAGTTTTTGGTATAAAATCAAACAAACTAAAAACCAACAGTATATAACCTGTACCAAATCAAAGTAGATATGGTTTTAATATACTACTAGATTTTGACCCGCGCTTGAAAGCACGAAAATTTTTTATGATTAAAAATTTATATAATTGGGTTTTATCTTAATTTAAAGAAATTTTGATATAAAATCAGTTCACCAAAATTGGTGGTGATGATTATTTTTCATTAATTTTTAGTTTCAGTTTTTCTTTTTTAGATTTTGGTTTTTAGTTTTTAAGTTTCTACTTTTCATTTTCAGTGTTTTGTTTGGGTTTTTAATTTATAAACCCGCTGAGTTAGTTTGAACTAATATTACCAACAAACAAATCTCAAATAATCGAACAACTAATTTAAAACTGAAAAGATGATAACAATTTTTTTTAAAAAAAATGAAATAGTTTATTTTGTAAATAAACAAAGCAAAAAAATAGAACATGTGTTTACAGCTTTTGGTTTTGGATTTTAGTTTTTAGATTTGGTTTTTGGTTTTGCTTTACATTTTTGCAATCAGTAAATTATTTAAGAAAAATAAAACAATAAATTATTTAAAAGTTACCATTGAAATTTATCAAAACAAAGTGATTTTTTATTTAAAATAAAAAAATATATTAACATGTTTTAAAGTACATGATTTAAATAAATGATTAATAATAGATAATTTTGTTTTGTTAAAAATATTAAATACCTTTTGGGTCTGAAAATAATAGTTGACTTTTTGATCTTCTAAGGTGAAAAGTTTATTCAATGTTTTTGGAGTTTTTTCGTAATACTAAGCCAAAAAACCAAACTATATAATTTGTTCAAAAAATAAAAGTAAGCCCAAGACTATATTCCATAAATAACCACTGGTTTAATTTAAATATAATTAGTAGATTTCCATATTCCATATTTTGATGATATATATTCTTTTAGAACATTCCATATTTGTAGGAGAAAATATGTGTTTTTGGTATACACATAGATACCTGCCGTATTTTGAAGGTAGTTTACATTAAGGTCGTCTCTTTACATTAATTGTGTTGGTTTAATTTAAGTAATACGGTTTAATCAATTATATGGGTTATATTATTTGTAACATTCTAGAAAGAGTCCAAATTTAAATGACAACTTGTATCAGTAGATAAAAATAATGACTCTATTTTAATAGAGTAAATTTTATAAACCGAAATTAACAAAAAGCTGAACTGGAACCAGATTTAAATCCATGTTAAACCGCCTATTTTAGATATAGGCTCCCAAATTTACTAAAAATATTTTTTATAGAAACCTTCAATAAAATGCTTAAAACTTCAAAAATATCAGGACGATCCTTAAAGCAAGACCCAAAACGGTAGTCCAAATTCTAAAATATGATCAATTGTATATATGAAACTATATACTGTGAATCTGAGCGAAGTAGGAGAAGTTTTTCTAGTGAGAAAAAGTAGCCAAATAGTTTGTATGGTGTCTGACTAACCTTTTGTAAAGCCAAGACCTACTACGTCTGGTTGACTGACTACTACGTCTGGTGGCAAACCGGAGATGTTATAATGTACGAGACATTTAGGAAGGAAGCTCTGGGCCCAAACAACCTGGCTACTGGGGCAGCATGACCCGGAGACATCTCGGGCCGCACGTCTCAAGCAGACGGTGCAGTTTCTTGGATCAAGATCAGGACTACACTGGACCACTGTCTTTATACCAAACGATCTTTCCAAGTGAGTCGCACGTTCTTGATCCTCCACAAAATATGGAATGGGCGAAGACAATGTCACTCTAAGGATAAGATCTCTTATTTTTTCACGGAGTATTCCTTTGAGAAATTGAGTAGAATTCACAGAAGGGATCAGAGAGTGTACAGCGGTTCCAGGTACATCCTCGTCGAGTGTGAAGAAAGAAAAATCCGAGTACCGAACCATACACGCCTCATAGAATATGAAACCTTCTTTTCTATAAGTGCAGTTTTCAGCCATATCGAGCGTTGCACTCTGTACACAGTCTGAACAAGATGTTCTGCTGATGTCACCTCTGCAGAGGAACATGCCGTAGACTGTGTCTGGGCCAAGACCGGCCGTAGTGTTGGAATAGCTTCCGAGGGAGGAACGGTCGCGGAGAGTAGAAAAGACGATGTCGCGGTTTGATCCATAAGAGCTGTTTCTAGCAAAGTCGTGTTCTTCGCAGTAGGTGCTCATGTAGTAAGGTTCGGACATGGTTCTGAAAATTAAGAGAGAGAATAAGAAACAAAACAGAGAACAAGCAGCAGAAGAAGTCATGTTTGTGTTCTTTCTTGAATATTATGAGACAGAACAAAACAGAACACATGGATTTATGTAACGTTTTTTTTTATTAATTCAAATCAGCAATGTACACATATAACGCGGTAAACCAAATCGGAAGGGTAATCTATATAAATAATAATTATTTTAGTTGAATTCAATTCCTGTATATAAAATACTAGGTACTTGCCCGCACCTTGTGCGGGAAATATATATCCAACAATATTAAATGCATTTTCGTATTAAAAATTTTCATCAAAATGATAATTAATATATAATATTTTTAAGGGATAATTTGTAAATTACTCCAAAAACAGTTTGATTTTTGATAATTGCATTTTCTATTTTAATTTTTGTAAAATACACTTCTCTAATTGTGAATTGACATTGTTACCCTAATTAGATATTTCAGTTATTAATATATAAATTTGAAATTAATATATAAATTCGAAATTCAATAATTATCCCACTTAATAAACTAATATCTTTAAATTTTTTGTATGTTTATCTCATAAAAATATGTGTTGAGATAAACATATTATTTTAACATTTAAATTTACAATAACAAAGATAAATATGTAAATTATGATTTAAAATGACGACTATATCATGAACAAGTCACGTTGTAACATATATTTTTCCTTTATTTACTCTCTTCTGACTTATATATAAACAAGTCACCTTGTTAAAAGAAAAGTCACGTTTATTACTTTGTCTCTGCAAAATCTTCCATCTTCCTTGAAGTCTTTGTCTCTGCAAAACCAAGTACGTTTTAATATTATGTATCACGTATGTCTATATTTTGTTTGCTTTACATGCATGTTCACGTATGTCTATATTTTGTTTGCTTTACATGCATGTTAATGTATTGATCTACGTTACATGTATACTTATTATTAAAAAGATATGGAAAGATATTGGGTAGATATATTAAAAGGATAATTGGTATATTCTCTAACGATTTGTACTTTTTTAAATTCGAAATTTAAATATATGTTAGAAATTAAGAAATATTAAGAATGGGTAATTAGGTAAATTTATATATACACAAGTTTAATTTTCCAAAAATTTAAATAAAGGTGTAGTTTTCCAATTTTATTCTTATTTAAATGCATTTCTCCAAATTTCCCCTATTTTTTTTAATGTGTTGGTCTTTTTTTGTTCTTTCTCTTTTTTCCTTTTGTTCTCCTTTTTTCTTTTTTTTTTTTTGAGCAAAGTTCTCCTTTTTTCTATTTTCTGATTTATACTATGAAAATAAATCAGAAACTCAATTATAAAACCAAATCAGTCGTAATCCTATTCCAAAGCTTCTAAGGTTGTTAGGTTTTGCTGTTAGAATATGAGTTTGAAGGTCTGTATACTAAGACTTTAGTGGGTTTTATGGTTTGGTTTAGATCTGAGAATTCAGTTTGATTTTGGTTCAAATATTTTGAGTTCGGTTGGTTATTTCGGTTTTCGGTTCAGTTAGGGTAGCAAAGTTAGGAACCGGATAATATTAGGAAAAATTTAGGTCCAGTTTGGTTCCACTTTGGAGGATAATTTCTGATAGTTTAGAGTTTTTCAGGTTAAATATCAGTTAATTCGAGTTGTTTGGGTAAAAAATATCGGGTTATTCGGACAATTTTAAATATTTTAGATTTAAAATATTCAGCTAAAAACTATCATCAAGATAATCTTCACATGGATGAACTGTCATCCTACAGGTACGACACGCAACAAAATACCACTTTGGAGTAGTTTCAATGGAAATAAAGTGTAACACATTTTTCCACCTATAGAAACAAACAAATCAACTTCACATAAAACTAAATTCATCAATAACTTCAGTTGACATCCGTTAATTGTAACCAAAAATATTTAATAAATGGAACATACCTCATTCGATACATTTAATGCACCGATAATTTTTATTGGATTTTTAATGAAAAACTCATCATATAAATATACTCTTATAGGCGTAGATTTTGGATCAAAGTTTTCTCTAGTAATAGCCAAATCATCATTGGGCAATTTGGATTTGAAATCGAGCACTTCTTGTAGTTGTGGATCAAAAAGAATTTCAGTGGCATTGAATAGATTATAAACACGAACAGCTCCTAAAACATCAACATAATTACAACAAAAAATAAAAATATTATCAGCAATTTAGATGTTAGATTCTGTGGGAAAAAATACCTCTGAATTCTTGCGCACAAACAAATCGAGCAACACAGACAATACATGATGCTTCATTAGATTTAAAGAAATTTGATACTTCCTTTGCATACCCAGACCACAACGTACATGTTAAACGTGTATCACTAAATATTTAAAATACAAAACAGTATAAGATTACTAAAATAAAATAATATAAAATTAAAAGCTGAATAAAACTTACGTTATGTCACGAATTGTTAATTCCAGCTTAGTTGTTGACTTTCCTTTTGCCATGAGATCTTCTGAAGGTCCAACATTCACAACTTCACCAATAATATCTAAAACACAAAACATTAGAATAAGGAACTGGTGAGAAAGAGAATATAAATAGGAACACATCAATTTAAAACACTATGACATAGAAAATTTACCGATCAAGACTTCTTTTTCATACTCACATCCTAATATTTCTTTAAAGTCTTTGAAATAATTATTTGCAACTTCTTTTGAAAAATCATCACAAGGAGTGATTTTGGTTGTTCTATAAAAGTTAATCTTAAAAGAAAGAGGATTCGTTCTATATTCTCTTGTATAATCACCGATGGTGAAATTATTCAGAATAAAAGAGTCTCTTTGACATAACTTAGATTTGAAGTTACTTAGAGAATAATGCTTTTGTATTCTTTTGTTTAGATTCTATTAGCTTTCGATAATGACTAAGTCAGCGGCGCATAATCAATATAATAACCAACTAAAATATTTCGATAATGCTTTTGTTCAAAAATATATTTTACCGGACTATAATCAATATAATAACCAACTAAAATATTTTGATAATGCTTTTGGTCAAACATGTAATTTATCGGATTATTATTAGTTAATGATTTATAATAATCAACAAAAAGTTAAAAACATGTTAGATAAGTACTATGAATGAATATATTATGAAAAATATGATTTATAACTAAAACTTATGAAAATTACCTAAAATCATGGAGGACATGACACCTCAGCAAAATTACTTCTTAAATAATAGTATAGATAGTTTTGAAAGAAAAAATATTATTTCCTATCAAAATATAATATCTTTAACGTGAACTTTTATTATTGTTGTTGTTACTAACCAAGTAGAAAAAACTGGTCAAATAAAAGATAGATTACATGAATCCAACAGCTTCCAAACACTATGCTACAAAGGTTCTTCTCCTTCACGTTCTTTTGAAAGTTGAGGGTCTTGATACGGTAAGCAAAGAGAGTTAAAGAGGATTATCCATCATATGTGGACAGCAGCTACAACTCATTAGAAGTCATGTTCGGGAACCCATTTTCCGGCAACATTTTAAGGCTCATGTCTCCGACACCAGCATCTGCATTATCAAACTTTTGTCTCCTACTTGAAATGTGATGATACCGTACAACGTCAAAGCCGCTGGTGTAGCCCAGTAAAACCATCTTCACCACATCGGTATTTGCTATGTAACTAAACTTATAAGTTAGATACATTCTTTTTGTTATTGATTATGTAAGGTGATGAAGATTGTTACCGGCCTTGGGGTGAGGAAACCTGAGAAAGAAACTAAGGAGAAAGGACATGCATCCCAACAATCTGATAGTTTGGTGTCCCAACATGATATAGCGTGGAATATATGAAGCTCTTTAGCATTGAGTAGTAGAACCATAAGAACTTAGCCACAATTCAAGTATTTAAAATATGGCAGCAGAAGAGTATTGAGCATGATTAACCTGAGAGATTGAATAAGGGATAGCTGAGTACATTCCAGCAGCTTTATCACGGCAGATACAGTAGGCTCAATGGTGAAATCAGGTTGAACTGTTGCAGCGTTGGTGGCACCGAGGAACAGTATTGCAGCGTACATGACTCCAAAGAAGTTATTCAGGTCTTGCTCCTTCTATCTGTTGTGGTTTTGAGACGAATCACTCACGTTTTAATAAGATGATAATTTAATAAAATGGAACATAGGGAAGCAAGCTTACATTTTCGTTCCTGTTTTCCAGAAAATCAAGCCAATATTGTCATGAGAAACCTGATAGCATTGTACTGAATATATCTCCAGTTAGACCAATAATGTTTCAAGAAGCAAGCTTTGGTTTGAGTCAAAAATGGCTGCGAGTACTTAGTTTGGAAGTAGAGATCTTCCGATGAGCTCTTTGATGAGTTCCTGGTTTCTCCTGAAGTAGAAATCACGGTTCAGGTTAGAACAATGAAGTAACACTGTGGTCTAATACTTATATTAACGTTTGACTTTCGTAGACCGATTAAGAGAGGAGTTGGTAGATAGTAGAGAAAAGTCCACACTCATTTATGACTCCATTCAAAGACAAAAAAAATTGTTTTGAGTTTTTTGGAGTGATGTCGTAGACTTCCAGCATATATAACTTGCCGCCACATTTCATAACAGAAGCTAAAATGAACAAAAATTATGCAGCGATTTTGAGACAAAAATATAAACTAATTTCTGAATTAATAAATGGAACAGCAAGGTTTAGGAAGCATGAGGGTGATAAAGGGATGAAAGATTACCTTATTATAGATGGAGATTCACTGCCTCTAAGAGAGATAAGAAGCACCTAATGAATAAATGCTTGATGTTGGCCTAAGGAGTAAAGAAAGTTGTTGGTGGTAATGGATCAATGCATCATGTAAGGTTTCAAATGAGATGAATTGCAGACGAAACGGCCCAACGAACGACACAAACAGAGTTTGATCGAGAGATTCCTGAAGATTCGTCTCAGGCAACCTCCTGAAACTCAATTGTGGGTTGAGGTGTTGAGAGATC